AACAGCAACATTTTATCAGAAAACCTAAGAAAGAGTTCAAGCAGTCGTGCATCATGAGTGAACTTGTCCGGAGCATGAACATTTATGTCATCTTGGTACAATCCAACACCAGACATACCACTAGGAATGTCATTCATAACTTGTTGGAATATGGCGGGATAAATGGATAAACCAAACGGAAGAAACTTATATCTGTAAAAATCAAAAGGGGTATTAATAGTTGTCAATGTGGAGGAGGTTTCGCCTAACGGGATTTGTAGATAAGCATCTTTCAAGTCAATCTTGGAAAAGACTTTAGAACCAGTGAATTTATTCAGAATGTCCTCTGGTTCAAAAGTTGTACACGTCTTTTTCAACAGTCTTGGATCCAGGGTGATTCGGTAGTCACCACATACTCTGGGGTTCTTGCCTTCCGACTTGAGTGGTGTCACGATTGGTGTACCCCAGGCTGACGAAATCACCTTCTCTATAACACCTTTGGAACACTAATTGTCCAGTGCATTCATGACAGGTTCACGAAGGCCATATGGAATAATTCGGCATTTGAGAAAAACTGGATAGCCATTAACTAGTAGTTTCACTGGGGGGATTTTTATGCCATTACTGGCCTTTGAGCATTCAATAATCAAATCTTTCAGTTCATTTTCAGTATTAACTGTTTCTCTATATCACTCACTTCTGAGTCATTGGATTGAATTGAACGACAAGTTTGGGTATTGCGACAGAATGCATATGACCAGTTTTGGCATACTTGTGAAATGAAGCGTACCGGAATCGACATGTGAATCTGGAATTACATTTGCCGCAAGATGCACAATTGCCATAGGACTTCTCCGATTATGTTGCATTATGTGAGCGAGATTGTGCAGCTGGTTTGAAATGTCCGATTGAAGAGTGAACTTATGTGGATTTGGTTTTTAGTGCATTGGACATGGTCGCAGATTCAATGGTCGATGGCATGGATGAAATAGAGGTGCGAATATCCTGATATTTTTCTCAGTGGCCCAGCACATTTTTGAACGTTGGATTTGACAGTTTCAGAAGTTCGTTTTTTAAAATAATATTATTAATGCCAGCAATCAGCCGATCTGTCAACTGCATTTCCAGTAAGTCACCAGAATCACACTTTGCAGCTTGAGTGAGTAATTCTAGGATGAATTCATGGATTCCCTGATTCGGACTGCGTACCATTGAATGAAACTGTGCTCTCTGCGAGGCTTC